TGGGGACATGTTGGCCCCAACCAGAGTCCAAAGAGAAAACCTCTGGCCTCCTTCCCAGTGCCCTGAGGATCCCAGCATGCCTGCCCCTGGGCAACACCCCCAATCGATGGAAGCATTGTAGGGTGATGTGGGCCCACTTCGGGTGCCTGTCAGCACCTCCACCCTGGGCCCATGGGAGGGCGGCTGGGAAGACATACCACCAGGCTCCACCGCCTGGTCACCCTGCTCTCCGTGAGTGACCACTGCTACCCCGACACTTCCAAGAGTTTGTTTATAAAAAAAAACAGCAATGGAGTACAATGCTGGCCCCACGGAGTCCCCCAGGCTGGCAGGAGGGCAGGCCCTGCTTCATGCTTCCCTGTGGTCGCGGGTGTCTGAGTCTGAGACTCCCCAACCTCCCGGCCCCTCCTCTCCCTGAGAGCCTGATGCAGGCTGTGGGCGGGACCCTGGAGGTGGGTCCCAGGCGCCAGAGCAGAGGGCCTGGCAGTGGGTGTTTCACCTCGGGGTCTTCCCCTCTGCTCCTGGGCCATCCTGGGTCCTGTGGCTCAGCCCACCTGCAGGCCACAGCCTCAGGCCTCATCCTCATCATCCCAGAGGCACCAGGAGGCGAGTCCCTGCCCTCCGAGCTTGGGGACGGTCTGGCTGACCCCTCTCAGGGGACGCCAGGGGTCTGTGTCTGAGGCCAGTGACAAAAGGGGCTTCCCGCTTCCAGAGCCCACGAGAGCCGGGGGGCCAGCCACAGTGATGTTTGGAAGCCTGGGTGGGGGGCCCCTTGGCCCATCCTGCAGCCGTCAGCTTCCCGCCTGCCCTCCCCAGGTCCTGCCCTGCCATGGTCTGGGCTACTGGGCCGGCTGCACGCCGGGCCCCTCAGTGGCCCCGTTCTCCTGGGGGTTCTTGGAGATGTGGAGGAAGGTGGTCCTCATGGCCCGGTGGCAGGTATCCACCAGCGCAGGGACGTCCGCGTCGGTGAGGCCGAGGGTGGGGATGGCTTCTAGCACCTGCACCGTGACTGTTCCTGGGGTGGGGGAGGGCGGAGGCAGCAGACGTCAGTGGCCTGCCGGGAGCTGGGGCCCACCTCAGCCCCTGCCCTGGCCTTGCCTCCTCCAGCCCCCCAGGCCCCCTCCCTGAGAAGCCCTGAGCTGGGCTCTTCCACTGGACTCGCTAGCCTGGGTGGGTTTATGTTAATTGCTGTAACATTGATGCAGGAAGCCCAGGGCTGGCTGGCCTCCACACGGCTTCGGGAAGTCTGCGCTCCTGTCACCGCCCCCATCTGCCCCCTTCCCGACCAGCCCCGGCCTCACTGTGTGGCCTCTGCCCTCCATACAGGGAGAGGGCCTGTGGGAGACGGAGCTGGGCTCCCCCACTGCTCTCCAGCTCACACCTCGTGGTCCCGCCTGGGCACCAGGTGCCACATGCTGGGAAATGGCCAGAAGGGGGAGAGGCCCCGAGCTCCTCACCGGTGCCCCTGGGTTTCATCTGCCCCACGCAGGCATCAGCCTGGACACATGGGTAAAAGGCCTCTCGAGGCCCCAAGCTGTGTGTACAGTGGGATCCATCCGTGTGAGCTCAGGCACCCAGAATACTCTCCTGCAGCCTCAGTTTCCTCATCCAAAAAAAGCCCCAGCACCACCCATCTCACTGGACCACGGGGTAGAGTGACCGCCATGTGGCCATGAAGCCCACAGCTGGCACTCCAGCCTGTCACTCATCCGACACATGATGGGAACTGTGAGGGGCCCAGGGCCCATGACCAAAGGGTCAGGCAGAGCCTGCAGCCCAGATGCACACGTGTGGCGTACCTGAGATGAAGAGCTTCTTCTTGGTGTCGTAGAAGGAGGAGAAAGAGGAGTAAACCACAGGGACGATGGGTACCTGCAGGCAGGCAGACGTACGGCTGAAGCAGCCCTGGCGATGGGCCGGGCACACCCCAGGGTCCAGGCGACTGGGGAGCCGTGCCCTGTGGCCCACCCGTCCCTGCCTTGGCCGCTGCTGTGGGTCCTTGTGGCTGTCCTGCCCCTGGGACCTGGGACACCTGTCCCGCTCTGGTTGGCCCAGAGTTCCATAAGCTCATCCTGCAAATCTTTACTCACCTCCTCCAGGAAGCCCTCCTAGACACGGGGTGGGGCCCTGTCCGGTTTAGCAGGAGCAGATTATGGCGCCATTCCCACCCACGTCTCCCTCCCGGTCCTCTCCTCATCCCAGGAAGCACGGGAGGGAGGCAACGCTAGCCAGGGGAGGGGTGGGGCCTGCTGGCGTTCCTGGAAGTCACCAGGGTCAGATTCAAGGGCACTTGTGAACATTAACCCAAGGCAGCCAGGGAACCTCCAGGGGCCAGCAGGCGGGCTGGGGACGGGACTGGGGAGGGAAGGGCCTCAGGTCTCCTGCGTTGCTGCCACCCAGCCACGCCCATCACATCTCCCCTCTCGTCTCCCAGGGCCCATCCAGCCCTCACCCTGTCCCCAAAGGGAAGTGACATCAGCCCCAGGCCGGGCCAGGCAGGTGTACGCTGCACCTGAGAAGGGCTGTGACTGGAGCCCAAGGAAGCCTGCCCAGCCCAGCGCCCTCAGCTGGGGCCGTCCAGAAGGAGGGCCCCTCCGCCACCCACCTTGCACAGGGCCAGCACCAGGGGCCACTGGAGGCCAGTACAGGGAAACGAGCTGAGACCCCTGACCTGAGGGAGGCCCCACCCAAGCAGAGTAAAAACCCCTTCCCCTGAAGCAACTCTCCCCTGCCCAGCAGCAGGGGCAGGACGGGCTCTGCGGGGACGGTTATGCCCTGGCCTCTCCTAGATCCCCCCTGGAGGCTGGGAACCAGGAAGTACAGAGTCTGGAGGTGTTGCTCACCGGAAGCTCCACCCCTCCCCAGGCTCTGGCCCAACCCACGCCCATGCCCTGAGGCCCACCCAGCCAGGCATGGGCCCAGGAGGAGACTTCTGAGAGGCCAGCTACCTGCCCAGCCTGGTGCCCACCAAGGGCAGTGGGTCACTCGGGGCTCTGAGTGGGCGAAAGGTCCAAGGGGCTGCCCTCCCTGGCCGGTCAGGGGCAGGTGCAGGAAGGGGCAAGAGGGCCCTGTCACCAACTCAGTGGGAGAAGACCCTTGCATGCCAGGGGTCCTCAGCTTGGCTGGGTGGTCACCTTCTACCTTAAGCCAGCCTGACCCCGCTTCCCCAGCCTGCACCCACCCTGGGGGGGCCGGGCTCCGCCTACCTGCGCCTGGACTGCCAAGTAGAAAGCACCCTTCTTAAAAGGCAGCAGGTCCCCGTTGTCATTGCGTGTGCCCTCGGGGTAGATCCACACTTTGAGCTGCAGGCAAAGAAGAGCCTGGAACCTCAAAGAACCTCACGCCCCCGCCGCCCAAGAAACGCGAACTCCCTCCTCTCCTAAGGAACCCCACTTCTCCAAGCGGCTGGTGTGTGACCCCATCTGCGGAGCACGGATGATGTGGGGGATCTTGTTTTTTCTGCCAAAACAAAGCCACAGGCTGCCCACCTCCCCCGCCCGGCCCCGGCCCCGGCCCGCACACTCACGTTCTCCCTGACCATGCGCTCCCCAAGCTCGGCCATTACAGTCCTGGCGGTGCTGGACCGCTGGCGGTTGATGAAGAAGACGCCCCCAAGGTACATGATGAGGCCCACGGGCCCCAGGAACAGCAGCTCCCGCTTGGCGATCTGCACGCAGCGCTCAGGAAGGACCTCCATGAGGCCTGGGAGACACGGGGGGGGCGGCGGGGGAGAGCGAGAGCTGAGGGCTGGCCGCTGGGCACTCATAGGCCTGCCGGC